TTGTGTTCTTATTGTGTTATTAGTAAAATATTTACTGTTGAAATAATTGAATTATAATATAACCTCTATGTAGTAAAAATAGAGAATCTAAATACCACAAACCAAAATTGTTACACATAACACCCTTTTCCTTTCCAGGCCATTTTTTTTGCTGACAGATTAACAATTACTCAGTTACCAAAATTAATTTAAATTTTTTTTAGAATCCTGGGGCTTTCTTTTGCTGGTATTTAATAACCACTTTTTTTTTTTTTTTTTTAATTTTTTGAGAGGCTGCAATACTCTTTCTTCCCGTTCCTTCATTGTAAAAAAAAAGCGTAGGTCGCTCAAAAGTAAACACATTGAGTGTTGAAATTCCTGATCACTGATCACTGCGATTGGCCATCACAGCGATCACAAGGCACATATCCACTCTGATTGGCTCTGTGCCTTTTGTCTATGATCTTCACTGTCTAATGTCTGCAGGAGGCAACTTTTTGCCTAACACTAAAATAAATGGAAACACATCAAAATGCATCACAATGCATACATTACGACAAAATCATACTGCATGTTGACATAATGGGGTTGATTTACTAACCTTATAAACACACCACGAACATGTATACACCTCAGTAGTGTGTTCCCTCCCAGCATGATCTATGGGTGGAATCTAAACACCTTTGTAGTGTGTACACACCCAGCAGGTGTGTTGTGCAAAGCCCTGCCCTGAATTGCAAGGTGATGTTGTGTAAATTAGCTCTACATTGTGTTGCTTGCGTTGATGAATGCATGAATGTAAATGCATGAGCTAACCATTTTTGTCTAAACTGTGAAGCAGCATTATATATGCATCATGTGCATGATTTTTCCATATATGGCATTAGTGGAAATATGCTTTTAGAGACTTTTTGGTTGATAAATACGCTTTGCTGTGTAAAAATCACACGCACCTGGTGCCTGCGTGTGTTTAGGTTAGTAAATCACCCCCAATGCATCTATAAAACAGTTTGACTACTTTGCAGGTCAGCATTACTACACATGCATCATGTGAATCAGTCGTAATGATTTTCATGGCTATCAGCACGCTATACAAGTTAAATTTATCCCAGTCAGTCTAGGAATACTATATTCTGCTTCGTGTGTGCAAAGCCCTGCCCACACTTATAGGGTGAGAACTTTATTGCACAGCCTAATCTCCTATCTTTAGTTTATTTGTCATTAGCAGCTGCAGTTTGCTCCAGTTTTATTAGAAAAGCTTAATCCCCAGGCAGGCTATTTATCCACTGGGTGCGGGATCATACTGCAGAGATGAACATGTTTTTAAAATGATTATGTAAAATGTTTATCATACTTGGTTTCTAAGGGTGATGCATAAAATAACCTGTATAAACCATTTTTTCTGATGTAATCCTGTGTGTAAACTATTAGAGATCTATTAGGTTTTGACAAAAATATCTATGTGCTTAATTTACAAACACGCACAGCTTAAAAAACAGAATGCTAGGCAGAATTTTACTATGTGATTTAAACTATTGAGATCTACATTTATAGACTTTCACACTTAAAGTCAACTAATGTCGCCTCCAAGTTCCTTTTATATTCCTGAGTTACTGAGGCTGAGGGTTTAAGAATGTTCACACAATAAGTTGGGAAGTTTCACTTAATGTGAAAAGCAAATCAGTGTTCACTTATTTCATCAGCACATGATTGAAAAGCTGATGTGGATATTTACCCAATTTATTATGGGAATATTCTTAATTCCTTTAGAAACGTCACTTCATAGACCTGTATGCCTGCATTCGGGAGTGGTAATTGGCCGCACTGACCAATGAGTATCTCATCTTTTTTCTTGTTTATTCACTGCACTCCAGACCGGACTCCCATAGAGTAAGTGGGTGCTGGTATGACATGCGGATGGTGCTGCAGAAATCACAGGAAAGTTGAAAAAAGTCACCCGCACTCCAAGGTCAAATGTGCTGAACGTCCTTTTTTTAAGACGCTAAGCAATCATAGTGACACAGTGCAATGTTTCGGAACTGAACATGGTCCCTTCATCAAACTCTCCTTTTTTTCTGGGACATTCCCCGTGCTGTAGTAAAGTCTTCACGTGCCGGGACTATTATACAGGCTAGCGTTAGTGGTTGGCAAGGATCATTATTACACATAAGTGCAGCAGGGACAGAGAGGGGGATGGTGATGGTGAGGGTGTTGTGAGTTAGTTCACCTTTTAATTTTTTGTGAAAAGGTGAACAAACCCTTTAAGGCAAGTGTTAGAGGCATGTTGTACCTAGGGGCTGGCTAATGGCATTATACTCACTACTCAAACAAAAGAAGTAGACATTCATCCAGGACAGATCTTGCTGATTTTTTAAAGCACTGCATAAGGGTTATGCTTCTGAGGTACACTAGCCAATCAGAATACCTTGCACTAATAACTGCCTATTTAGTCTCTGTAAGGCTAATACCAGTGTCGATGCCTACATGAGCCTGCCCTCCAGGAGACATTGATACTTCACTTCAACTTGTTCTCCCTATGTGTAAGGGATCATCTTTTTCAAAAAAAACTTTAGGATGACCCATTGGATAGTGGAGAAAAGTGTGCCAAAGTTCTAAAGACAAAGTGTGGCACACTCTCCTACAGGCTTTTCAGTCCCATGCACTCCTCTATCCGCAGGCCTTGGTGGGTTCTCAGTACAAGACCCAGTGACTAAATGATGACAAGGGGATAACTAAAGTAAGTAATACAAATAGCAAATTACCCAACTAGTGATAGACCCAAACTGCACATACACAGGAAGGAGCACATAGTGGTGCCACTAGGCATTAATTGGCAGATTGGCATTTTAGTTTTCAGCAGGCTGGTCTTTGCTTTCCAATCCTTCACCACCTTTGATGTCCATACCTCTGCAAATGACCACTGTAAAATTAACTCAGCTACACAATGTTCATCTTGCTTTCATCCCAAAACCTCTTCTCTTGCACTCTTTATACATTTGATCTGTGAAAAATCACTCAGTACATCTACCGAATTGCTGCACTGAGGGAAAACCCCTTGTACAGGAGATTGACACTTGCAAGCAAATTCCTATTTATACTTGAGTTGTTGAGAGAGTACTGTGGCAAATAAAAAATGTGGGCATTTTACAGAGGGAGCCACTGTGTCTGTGCTTAAGGCCAGCGATCTCAACAGTTAAAGCTGGCAGAGAAGCAGGCCATAAAGATATAAGGGGTTTTGGACATATTAGTGGGTCAAAGAGCTGCAGTGAACCAAATAAGAGCAGCAGCCTATGGAAGTCACAAGTAAAGACAGATTGGAAATAAGGGCGTGCATGTGAAAATGCAGTTGAGTAGGTCATTAAATTGAATTAATTGAATTGAATGTACTCTCTCGACAACTCAAGTACAAATAGGAATTTGCTTGCAAGTGTCAACAACAGAAATAGTGAGGTTGAATTACTGAAAGCAAAAAGGCTGTTCATTATGCAAGGGATTTTTTTCTTAGCTTAGTGAATGAGGTGAGGCACTGCTGACAGCCATCATCCAACTATGAGCAACTGTTTATTATATTTGTTTTCCTTGCACACTATTGGGTATTTTTTGCAAACTGAATTTTTACCACATTCATTAAGCTAAGGCAAAATACCTCTGCAAAGTGAAAATTACCGTGCAAAGGGAACAGCCTATTTTCCATTAGTCTATCAGACCCAGTGGCTTACTTTGTACTAGAAAAGTCCTGAGTCCAAAATCCCCATCAGCATGTCTTCATGTTTGCTAAAATTCTCTAGGTAACTGAAGTACAAATGGGAATTTATCACAAGAATTTTAAAGAGGAACAGCTTTGTGTATGTACATTCCAGAGATATGAAAGAGGGTCTCATCGAAAGTGCATAAAGTACAATCATATATCCCAAGTTTGTGAGCTGAGAAAGAGGGATACATTCCAGCACAACGTATTTAGGAAATAGACACATACCTGCCACAGTTATGTCCATTAAGATTGTATATGCCAAAAATGATTGGTTAAATTCAGATTTATTTTTCTTTCATCATTACTTTTCCTTTATACTGGCTTTTCGAAATTGTAAACAAGATAATTAGGAGATAAGATAAAGGTGTAGTGCAGAATAACACTTTTGGTAGTTTAATAGAACCTTTTCATTGATATTTGTACATCAGACCAAAAAGAGGAACAACTGAGAAGGAAAAAGAAACAGAGTGATTTAATTCTAAATGAGAGACAGTTGGGAGGTATGCTACATTAGCTGCTGGCAGAGTGGATTGTGGGGAGAGGAGTGGGTCATAATAAGAATGGATAGCACAGGGCTGAGCAGACCATGCAGCGGCATAGATAACGTACTGACAAGCAGCATAAAAATGTGCACAAAAAAGGGACAGATGATGGGGCTATACAGCAACAGTGAGTGAATGTAGGGAAAAACCCACGGAACTGAAGGGAGAGCAGGAGGTCACCTACAGGTAGCAGTTGGCATCGAGCAATAAATGAGAGCTAAGTGTGCAAAAAACACATAGAGCAAGAGAAATTAAGTAAGCTGTAATGATACATTGCTCCATGGTGGTGGAGGGACAGGGCACTGGATGTAAGTTAGCGCATAAAGGAAAGAGTGCCCTGGACATAGAGAGCAGAGAGGAGAGTAGTTGAAAATGCAAATTACCATTTAAGAGCAGACCATGCACATACTGACAATGCCTTAGAAACATAGAGAGACTGCAGATGAAGGACAGGTGATATTTAATATGGAAAATTATGTGTTTGTGCAATTGTGCATGGGTACTCGAGCAGTAATCCTCCACAGCTGCGAAACAGATATTGCCATCTCTCTTTATACTATATAAGAGAATAGGATGCATTAAACAATAATGGTAATGTTATATTTTGTGTAGAAAGGAAATCAGTAACTAATAAAATACTTTTTTATTTGCTTTGAGAAAGCTGAATATTGCTTTCAAAAACTTCTTTATTTGTATAACTTTTTTAAAACATTTGTATTTTTTTGTAGGTTGGATTACCAGAGACAATTGTAAAACGATGTGCCATGCAGTTGGCTGAAGCTTTAGACTTTATGCACAGCAAAGCACTTGTTCACAGAGATGTGAAGCTAGACAACGTTCTTATTTTTGATAAGGATTGCCACTGCATAAAGCTTGCAGACTTTGGATTAACGCGACTCGAAGGTTTTCCGGTGTCTCCTATGAAAGGGATTCTCCCTTATTCACCTCCTGAGCTTTGTAGCTTAGAAGATAACGAGACCCTTGAACTTGACTCCAGTCTTGATGTTTGGTCTTTTGGTATTCTTCTGTTTTGCATTTCCACTGGGTACTTTCCCTGGGACATGGCATTATTGAAGGACAAGCAGTATGAAGAGTTCAGTAACTGGCAGAGCACAGGGGATGATAACCAAAATATTCCTTTTTATTGGAAGCTGTTTACACGGCAGGCATTGCACATGTTTAACAGACTACTTTCTATTAATGCAAACAGGAGGAGCCCAGCTATTGAGATCCAAAAATACCTAAGTGTCCCATGGAAAATGAACAGTGTGAAAGATAACAGTAACATACAAGGAAATTCAAACACTATGGAGCAATGTGTTGATAACATGAACTTAACGCAAGATACAGCGAGCACTTACATGTCAACCAAACATTTTTCCATGCCTTCTGAAGAAAAAGTCTCAGCAACCACTCGTGCTGCAAACATTTGCGAGGACACAGACGAGGACTCTATGACACAGTAGCTAGCTTGCACACTGTATTATTAAACGTTTTACTTTTGTGAAAACTGTTATAATAGTCACAGATGTTTGCATTTTTTCTAGAAGAGAGTTACTTACAAAAAAGTCTAATTTGTTAGATTCAGATTTTTTTACTTACTGTTTCCTTTTTTTATATTTTTTCATTTCTGATTGTTTTTACTAAAACAAAAATCAAATAAAGATTCAATTTATAGAGTTACCATTTTTCCTTCTCCCACCTACTCACTACATGCGGTATATGACATTGGTTAGATAAGATGTCACCACCTACAGACCTATCCCTACAAGTATCCAGTCAGTTACCACCAAAAATTCATACTGTAGGAAATACCGCTTGCTGCATGGTAAAATTGTGTTTTCCTTTTGTTAAATAATTTAGAAAACATAATATCGTTTACACTACAAAAATGTATATATATCAGGTTTTTATAACATGTTATGTAAAGAAGAGACCAGTTTAATTAAAATGTATCTGTATGAATAAAAATTGTTTCTGTAGCATTCGTAACATTCTGTTAATTTCTAAATCTTTTTATGATTTTTGAAAAATTGCAAAGGACCCTGCAAATTTATTATTAATGAAAGTCACGCAAAAGACCAAATTGTGCTCACCAATGTAGCAATTGACATGGACTAATTTGTATTTGTAAATATTTAAAGGGGTTCACATAGATTTGATTTCCTGACATTCATTGATGGCTATTCAAGGTATATTGTGATCTACCTGTTACATAGCTAAATTAAGTTACATATGAACTTGAAAAATATCTTGCCAGAGTAAGCATCAAAATTGGCAAAACACATGTGGTAAAACACAAGCTATTCTGAGAAAGCATGGAATTATGTTCCAGACTATTTTACAATACAAAATGGTGTTGCAGAGAGAATGAACCACACACTATGAAAAAGTGACAGAAGCATGCTTTATACAGGTATATAAACAACATACTTGGGGGAGAAGCAATTATGACAACCTACTTTCCAAAACCGCTTACCTAGAAAATCAACAAAAAACTTAATATGAGCTATAAAAAAAAGAAAGAAGCCTGACCTGAAACACATCAACATCTGTGGAAGCAAAGCAAATATACATGTCCAAAAAACAAAAGCACTAAATGGAAAACTTGTGCTAAGGAACATATAATTTTATTTTACTACAGTTAGTCTCGAAATGTTACAGAAATCTGCATCAAGATACCAATAAGGTAACATTTAGCAGAATTATAATTATTAATGAAACACATTTGTGCAAAAGCATCATGACGTGAATCAACACCAAATGGATGCTAACCTGAGCAAGAAGGCCCACCAGTACTGCAAGAAAAGGAACAGAACATCACTGAAACTGAAATGAGTGTCAGTGATTTATTCTGTAAAAAGGAAGAATCTGATGCGCCTGAAACCTCACTTTAAAAAAATGCAATATCCAATAAGGACATCACTGCAAGATGCCTTTCATATATGGTTCATAGAGCACAATAGCCAAAGCCAGCATCATGAGCAGAAATAAAAAAGCTACTTGTTTATGAGAAGCAAATGTGGATTTAACTCACAGATAAAGAAATGACAAATCTCAACCAGCTTCAAGCCAGAATACAAAGGTCTAAACATACCAATGGAAATATGTTACCTGAAGCTGGAAGAATAAACAAATCTTCTACCAAACAATGGACAGTATAGATGAGCAGTCGGGGCACTTTTATTCACTGCAAACACTACACTTCCAGATATAGGAGTTGCCATGTCACTACTCTGTAAACGTGTAAGTAAACCACTTTCAAAACCATAAACTCAGAAAGAAGATATGGCTTACTGTGTATGGGAAATAGTTGTTAAGTAGGGTGTATTAGCATGCTCTTTTTACAGACATAGGTGCAACAACCAATCCCATAATATATACTGTGATTACTAGTAGGGATAAGCTACAGATCCAAGTTGACCATAATTTCAATCTGAACCTAGCCTGTTCGCAGTTCAGTGAATAGGCAAACAAACTGACCATGCTTTGCCAAATTGACCAATCGAACAGACAGCAGCCCAAAGTCTGTCATGTAGCAGTGGTAGCACTACTGCCACCAAATGACAGATCCCTGCTGGCTTCTGTTTGTAAGCAAAGGACATGGATCTACATCACTAGATGACGTGATTGATGTTGACCTTACTTCAGGGGACATTGTTTTTTTTCTTTTTAAAAAAATGACTTTTTTTTCACAGAGCGGATTTTAAAAATGTATTTTTCACTTTTTATGGGAGCAATAAGGGGTATTATGTACCCCTTACACATGACCCTTGGGGTGGATATCTGGGGTCCCTTTATTTTAAAGTGGTTCCAGATTCCGATAAGTTCCTCCTCAAGGACACATATCAACCATTTTAATTTGAGGGCTGCTAATGTACCTATTTCTTCTTGAAGGATGCGTATACAGTACTGTGCAAATGTTTTAGGCAGGTGTAAAAAAAAATACTGTAAAGTACGAATGTTTCAGAAATAAAAGTGTTAATAGTTTATTTTTATCAATTAACAGAATGGAAAGTAAATGAATCTAAAGCTGCCCACACACCTTACAATTTATCTGCAGATTTTCTGTGGTCAGATTGAAAAAGTGCAACAGATTGGCCCAGGTGGAGATTACTCCATCCACACAGTTAAGTGTAGATGGAGGAATCTGTTGCACCTTTTCCATCTGACCACAGAAAATCTGCAGATAAATTTTAAGGTGTGTGGGCAGCTTAAGAGAAATCCAAATCAAATCAATATTTGGCATGATTATAAAAATAAAACAAAAAGATAAAACAAAAAAATAAATACATTTTAAAAAACGGCAACACCTGCGACACAGAAGGGGGAAAAGCAATGAGGCAGCAAAATAGCCTGCTAAAAAAAAAAGTTAAAATAATAAAAGAAAATTAAAAAAGAAAAAAAAAATGGGAACACCGGTGACGCAGGAGAAACACACACAAAAAAAAAAGACAGTGAATATACAGCATAGAAAATAATACCATATAGAGTACAGAGTACTCTATATAGTATTAAATGCTGTATAAAGCATTGACACTTCACTTTCACTTCACTACACTACACTATACTAACAGCTACACTACGCTGACAGCTACACTACACTGACAGCTACACTACACTGACAGCTATACTGACAGCCAAACAACACTGACAGCTATACTGACAGCTACACTACACTGAGAGCTACACTACACTGACAGAAACATTCTATTTTAACTACAGCAACGCACTGCATAAGGCTGCGGTGTAAGCAGCCTTATATAGTGTGGGGGTGGGACTTAGCTGTGAGCCATGATTGGGCAAAGTCATCATTACTTTGCCCAATCATGGCTCATACAGAGCCCTGAGCCCTGATTGGGCAAAGTGTTGCACTTGCCCAATCAGGGCTCTCCAATGCAAACAGTACACTGCAGGGTGTTCAGGAGCAAACAGCTTGTATGTTTGGGGTCGTTGTCCTGCTGCAGAATTCAGAGCCACTGCCTCCCTGATGATATGGCATGATGGATAAGTATCCGCTTGTATTTCACAGCATTGAGGACACAATTGATCCTGACCAAATCTCCAACTCCATTTGCAGAAATGCAACCCCAAACTTCATCATGCTTCACTGATGCCTGCAGACACTCATTATTGTACTGGTCTTCAGCATACTGGGAAGAAACAGAGAGCATAAGGGTGCAGGCAAAAATGTAATATGGGTTACATAGGGTCTTCACTTTACTACGTTTTTACTACGCCCTAGCAAGAATCCCAGAATGTAAAAACATAAAATAAAAGAAAACAAAGATTCATAGCGATATAAAAATACTCTGTACCAAAATACAACATTTAGCAGAAAACACATTTTAAAAATAGTTTTGCATGTAACAGAAATTAAATATTGTAGAATTGCATATAATTGATTGCAACAGTAGTAACTAAAATTAAATATCACATTTTATAATGTTGTTCTATCTATCTATCTATCTATCTATCTATCTATCTATCTATCTATCTATCTATCTATCTATCTATCTATCTATCTATCTAGATAGATAGATAGAGGTCAGACTGTAATTTGATGCCAAAAAGGGCATCTCATTCTTTATTTATATTTAGTAGAATGCATCAGTGATGATGGTCAAGTGATTGATATGATGGCTTTTGGAGAGGTCAAAAAGAAGCATTTCTTTTCCTACAGTATGGCATAAATTAGCAGCTGCCTCACTAAGTTTTAATGTTCTGATGTAATTGCTTATGACAAAAGAATGTATTCAGCGGTAATGAGGAAAATGGAGTTCCATGGCCACGGTCCAGATGGTACATAGTAAAACATACAGGCACATTAGTAAGAAGAAATTAAGTGAAGTGAAAACAAGTGCAAGCAGGGGGCCTACAGAGCTGTATGTCTTTCAAGAGGTCATACCAGAGCTAAGGCATAGAACAGGTGGTGGAATTGTTTTGGAGAATTGAGTAGGAAATCTTTTCAGAGGAAGGAAGCAGTGGGTGGAGTAAGACACTAAGATACTATATAGCATTGAAAACTAGAAAGAGCAAACTACCCTTATAGCAAAAGCAGTAACAGCAAACATATCATTCACTTAGCAACACAACCTGTGTCCTGGCCACCTTGTACCTTTCATCAGTTCTGTTATCGCTCCCTTCCCATCAGAACACACACATAAAAAGGCTCTATTGACGGTTGAGTTCTGAAAAATCCTGTTTGAAATTCTGATAATTAAGCAGCAAATTATATTGAAGTCTATGGGAGAGAAGGACCTTGTTAGTTAATTCTGGCCATTTTAGGGTAAATAGACAAGCTATCTTAACCAGTTGACATCCGCGGTGTTAAACCCCCTTCCCATCCAGGCCATTTTTCAGTATTCAGCGCTGCGGTACTTTAACTGACATTTATTCCGTCATGCAGCGCTGTACTGAAATGAATTTTATACCCTTTTTTGGGGACAGATAGAGCTTTCTTTTGGTGGTATTTATTCACCACTGGGGGTTTTATTTTTTTACTATATTAAGGAAAAATTACCGAAATTTAAAAAAAACAACAGTTTCCCCTATATTAAATGATAAAACATTTATT